ACTGGTCAAGCCATTGTCCTAATGGGAGAATCTGAATAGTGACTCATTTTCCTCATATCTTCTGTCTTGAGTATGGGTGTGATTGATGGCTGGAGTTTTGGCAGCCATATTGTAACAAGGTGAGAAGGAAAGACCAGATCCAACCAATGATTTGACACCAATGAATCCAAGAACTAAAACCAGTAAACAGCTGAGATGTACTTTCCTGTGAGAAAAAGAAATCTATAACTAAGTTAAGCAGCTCAAGCTGCAATTAGCCATCCTCTTTGTTACTTTTGAGTGTATGCTTTTGTGCTAGTATTAGGGCTTGAACTTGGGACCTCACACTCTTGCTTGGCTTTTTTTTTTTTCAAAGTTGGTGCTCTTCTACTAAGCCACAGCTCTGCTTCTGGCTTTTTGGTGGTAAATTGGATACTAGGTAAGTACTCTACCACTAAGCCACCTTCCCAGCCCCACAGCATTACTATCTTAATACCAAATGCAATTGCAAGAACAGGCCTCTGACATAAGCCAGGCCTCTAAGGCATGAGAGAGAAGTCTAGTTATGAGAGGTAATTACAGAAACTAATAGGGAAAGTCCAAATATAGTCAGGACAGCCCCAAGTTCAAATCTAGATGCTCTCTGTAGGAAAGGCAGATTAAAGGCTCCAGAGTGGTCCACACCCTAATCCCAGGAACATCACAAAAGGAGCCGCAGATGTGATTCTGATTACACACCTTGAAATGAGGGAATTATGTAAATGGTCCAAAATAGAATCACAGGAGTTTTTCAAAGCAGTGTTCACTTCCTAGCTGTTTTAAGAGCTAGGAGAGTTGAGACTGAAACAATAAAGTAGGAGGACTTGGCCATGAGAAGATTTACCGGCTATAACCTGCCTAGAGAACAGAGAGAGACAAGATTCCAGGAAACCAAGAAGAGCCCTCAGTTCATAACCAGCCATGGAGGAGGCAGCTGTAAGGAACTGAATACTGTTAGCAACTAGATCTTTCCCTGGAACCTCCAGCGAGCAAAACAGCCCTGCCAACACTTGGTTTCAGCTTGATGAGACTACCTGTAAGACTTCTGCTGCAATCGATACGGTAGTAAAGTGATACAGTTGTGTTGTTCAAGCTAAGTCAGTAGTAATTAGCTACGGTGCCAACAGAACACAGAACAGATTTTAGCACCAGGAACTGGATGCTGTAAAATGGAGAGTGGCTTTGAAATCGGGTAACAGGTAATGTCTGGGAATTCTGATGATGATGATGATGATGATGATGATGCCTAGAGTTCCTTGAGTGGACTATTGGTATAGAAATGTGGACTTTAAAGGTTCTATCCAGTGAGACACTTTTGCAATTCTAGCTATGTCTATAATCTTAACTATTTAGGAAGCTGAGATCTAAGGATCTTTGTTTGAAACTAATGGGGAGGAAAGTCTAAGAGACTCTTCGCTCCAGTGAACCCCACAAAAAACCTGGAAGTGAATTTGTGGAGGGGAAGGGAAAAACAAATCGTTTAAATAGGGATACAGGTGGACCCATCGCAGCAATGAGACGTACAAGTCCTATGTCGAAAACAAACTTTACAACTTTGATGGGGATGGGTGGAGGATGGGATGGGAAGGGGAATCAATGCTTGATAAGAAATGTACTCATTATCTTGCCCATGTAATTGTAACCCCTCTGTACAGTATTTTCACAATTTAAACAAAAAAACAACAACCTGGAAGTGGAGCTATGGCTCAGGTAGTAGAGTGCTAGCCTTGACCATAAAAGCTAAGGGACAGGCCCTGAGTTGAATCTCCAGTAGTGGGACACACACACACACACACACACACACACACACAATATTGCACATGCAGTTTCTACCTTTTTTTTGCATATAGCAAAACTCCCATTTTCCCCATGTAACTACAGATCTGTTATTATACTATTACAGCATATTGCACAAATATCTGTGATTGAACAAATGGTGAAATGGTAGACCTTTAGACACTCTCTCTCTCTCTCTCTCTCTCACACACACACACACACACACACACTCCTTGTAGCTATATCTTACCATACAAATAGCTAATTAATTGCAGGCTCTAGATAAAAGGTGTGTGAGCGTCCATTATACCACTCTTTCCACTTTCCTCCATCCTTACAATTTTTGTACGGTAAGATTTTAATTTAGAAGAAGAAAGAACGAAAGAAGGAAAGGGAAAAAGGAAGGGAAGAAAGGGAGACAGACAGCCAAAGAAAGAAAAATACTCTTGCACAGATCCCTTAAGCAAGAGGACCCGCGCGGCTGGGTGAGGCTCTCCACAGCGCACCCTGCCGGCGGCACGCGGAACTGCAGCGCCGGCTCTCAGCTGTGCGTAGTCTTGACCAGGACCGTGACCTTGACCGTGACCTTGGCTTTCTCTCAAGAAGCCCAGGCCCAAGGGTAGGGAGAGCACAGTTCTGGGCTTTCGCACGGCCTCCCTGGAAAAGAGCCTCGGAGTACCCGGCTGCCAGGCGCGCAGCATCAAAGCGGCAGGCGCCGGGAGAAGAAAAGGGCCAGTGTGCGTTCGTGCAACTCCAAAGCTCTTCTTCAGGCCCAGAGACGCTCGGGGAGGGGCAGCGGGTGCTCAGGCTGCGCCCGAACAGTGTGGGCAGTCAGGCCACAGGTCCCCTGCTAGGACAAAAGGGCCTCAGTGCTGCCCAGAAGCAGGCCCCAGGGCCTGGGGGAAGCATAAAGAAAAGCTGTGTCTCTCCAGCTCTCAAGTTCACCTTTGTCTTTAGAATGCAAGTCAAAGGAAGGTTACAGAGGAGCCTGAAGGCTCTCCTCCTCCTCAGGGGTCTGGTGGGTAAGAAGAGCCAAGTTCTTTCCCCAAGATGCTGGGAATTCAGATAAAAATAGAAATATGCTTGCCTGCTAGCTGAGAGTCATTTAAGTCCAATGGTACACCCTCTGGCCAAGCCTTCCTGGAGGAAGAGAAGCAGGTAGAAATGGCTGGAAGGCCTCCCTTCACCCCTCCAAGACACACACACACACACACACACACACACACACACACACACACACACACACACACACACACACACACACACACACACACACACACACACACACACACACACACACACACACACACACACACACACCCTAATACCTGCACTAACATGCAGAATCACACACCTGAGTTTCATTCAAGCTTTGCAATTTCCTGTGTATGTCTTTGGACAGCTTTTTAACTTCCTTCAGCCAATTGTCTGCTTTCCAAAACTAGCGTGTGATATCTGCCTTATTAAATGGGAAAGAAGAAACATGAAAAATGCCTAGCCCCACGAGTAAGCTTTCAAATACTTGTTCATGATTTCACAAACTGGATTGTTCCTAATATTGTTCAAATGGGTTTGAGGTCTAAGAGTACTACAACATATTTATGAACATATAATGAATATTTTTTAAATTTTACTTTGTCTAAATTCTTAGTTCTTTCAAAACTTTTTTCTCTTTATTGGTAAGGGGGCTTGCATTCAGGGCCAGAGTGCTGTCCCTTAGCTTTTTTGCTCAAAGCTAGTGCTCTACCACTTGAGCCAAAGCTCTCTACTTCAGGCTTTTTGGTCGTTAATTGAAGATAAGAGTCTCACAGACTTTACTACCTAGGCTGGCTTCAAACCAACATCCTTAGATCTCAGCCTCCTGAGTAGTTAAGATTATAGACAGGAGACTCCGACATCTGGCAGTCCTTTTCATCTTTTACCAGGATGTATTCAAGCATTAATTTACAAAATAAATAAAAGAACCAAGTGAAGGAAAGACACCAGAAGGAAGAAAGCAGCAGTGACTAGAATATAAAGTATTTGACAGAAGGACAAATAAACTGGCTAGTAGACTGCCAATTTAATTCTGAGCTTGAAAGCCAACCTTACAAAGAGGGGAACACAATCATTTTTCACATTAAAAAACTGACAGGGGCCAGGCGCCAGTGGCTCACACCTGTAATCCTAGATACTCAGGAGGCTGAGATCTGAGGATCATGGTTCAAAGCCAGCTTGGGCAGCAAAGTCCGTGAGACTCTAATCTCCAATTAACCATAAGAAAACCAGAAGTGGCGCTGTGGCTCAAGAAGTAGAGAGCTAGCCTTGAGCTGAAGAGCTGAGGGACAGCGCCCAGGCCCAGAGTTCAAGCCCCACGACCAACTGGAAAACAAAACAAAACAAAAAACTGACAACAGCCTGAATGAAAAAAGGCACCTAAGTTAGTCATGAGTGAAAGATTTGAGCCAAGAAAGGAACTGACAAAGAGATAAGGGGATTTAAAAAGTAAACAGCTTCTCAGGATTGTTTCATATTTGGAAAAGTCTTTTTTGGGGAGAAGTGTGTGTGTGTGTGTGTGTGTGTGTGTGTGTGTGCACGGGCCAGTATTGGGACTTGAACTTAGGACCTAGCCATTGTCCCTTGAGCTTTTTATTCTTTCTTCTTCTCTTTTTTTTTTTTTGTCGGTAGTGGGCCTGGGCGCTGTCTCTGTACTCTTCAGCTCAAGGTGGGCGATCTACTGCTTGAACCACAGCACCACTTCTGGTTTTCTAGTGGGTTATTGGAGATAAGAGTCTCAAGGACTTTCCTGCCCGGGCTGGCTTTGAACTGTGATCCTCAGATCTCAGCCCTTGACTTAACCAGTCAAGCCACTGCTCCACTTGTAGCTTTTTGCTAGTTAATTGGAGATCAGGAGTCTCATAGACTTTCCAGCCCAGGCTGGCTTTGAATCCTGATCCTCAGCTGTCAGTCTCCTGAGTAGCTAGGATTCTGTGGCATGAGCCACCAGTGTACTGCAATGTATTTGGAAAGTTTTTCTTCACATCAACATTGCCCTTCTTCTAACAGCATAGCGAGTCAAACCAAACTGCTTTTCATGCTGTTCTGTAAGGCGACGTGACACCCAGGTGCAGCTCACGGTGGGCCTTTCCCATCGGCTCACCTAAATACTGCCTGACCACCACCATGGCATGCCTCTCAGGCGTGTCTGTACAACCACCCAATCTTACCTCATGATTGCTTCATTTACTCTCCAACGCTCTGTGACTTCATGAATGCCCATCACTAGAAGATGAAGGAAACATGTGTCTATATCTGAACACTTACTCCATGGACAATAAAAAAATAACAACGACTTCAAAGTAGCACTGTGGTTCAAAGCGGCAGAGTGCTGTCCTTGAGCATAAAAGCTCAGGGACAGTGCTCAGGCCTTGAGTTTAAGCCCCACGCCCCTCCAAACAACAACAACAACCCAAACAAAAAAACAAAACAAGAACTCTTGAGGCAACTGGATGGAGACATAAAGATTTAAAGAACTTGATTACCGGGCTGGGAAGTTGACTCAGTGGTAGAGTGCTTGTCTCGCATAAACGAGGCTCTGGGTTCAATTCCTCAGCACCTCATAAGCAGAAAAAAGCCAGAAGTGGCGCTGTGGCTCAAGTGGTAGGGTGCTAGCCTTGAGCTGAAGTGCTGAGGGACAGCGCCCAGGCCCAGAGTTCAGCCCCCACGACCGACAACAAACAAACAAACTTGATTGCCACATATATGACACTATCTAATAGGCCATTAAAAAAAGGCTGATAAGAACCGAAGGACCCAAGGTGCCTAAGTCCTGAAGTCACTGAAGCAGTGACAGGCACATCTTGTTTTATTGATTCACTTGCTTGTGATTTGCCCAAAGTTAAAGTTTGTACAAATCGAAAGACTTGCACTGAGCAAGTCTACTGATACCATCTTCACAACAGCACACACTCATCTGGTGTACTGTGTTTCCTTTGGGTAAGTTTTCCAGTATTTCAATCTTGTTCATTTCATTACTTGTGTTATAGAGAACAGCGTGAAAAGCGATTTGGTATGACTCAGGGTGCTATTAGAGGAAGAGCAGTGTTAATGTGAAAAACTTTCCAAATATATTGCAGGACACGGGTGGCTCATGCCTGTAATCCTACCTACTCAGGAGACTGATATCTGAGGATCAGGGTTCAAAGCCAGCCTGGGCAGAAAAGTATGAGACTCATTATCGCCAATTAACTAGCAAAAACCACAAGTGGAGCAGTAGCTTAACTGGTAAAGTACCTTACATGAAGCCCCGAGTTTAGATCTTCTCAGTGGATAAATTTTCTTTTCTTAATGCATTTTTTTCTTTTTTTCTAAATGTCTGAAGTAGCTTCATTGTTATGAATGGCTTTGCTCAGATTTCATGGAAATTGCTAGCCATTTAGGTAAATTGCTACAAAAATCACACAGATATAAAAAATTGTTCTCAGACACTGGTACTGAAAGAGAGTTAGCTTAGTATTTCCATGGACTGGGGATTGACTAGGGCCACTGTAACTGGCAGTGGTGAGGTTGGCCCCCTATGTAGGTGTAGAGCTTTTGTGAGAATAGTTGTCTGTTTAGAGGTTTGCTACCATGAAAAGCCAGGTAAAGAAGTATCCAAAGGACTAAAACAGACTTGGGTAGACCTGAGGCATCATGGTCAAGCTTATCCAATTTCTATTCTGCACAAGGGATGCTGTCACTTTAAATACTGTGCCCTTGTTGCTAAGGAAACCAAGTGAAGTGGGTTGCAGACACAATTTCCCATCTTTCTGTGATGCAGGTGAAAGCACTTGCCCTAGCTAAGGAGTAGATGGAAGAATTATAGGCGGACCCCAGGTTTCTCTGCTGGACAGGAAGTTTAGACCAGCGAAGGTGAAGGGAGACAGCTTCTAGTTTGTGTAAAGGCAAAAATGTGTGGTTCTTTGCTGTGGAAAAGACAGTAATTACTTGAATTTATGAAGGTGGGGAAGGAGCCTGGCTTTTATTTCTGCCTACTACTAATTTTCTTCGTCTATGTACTGAAAGTGAACTAGTGCAGATTTTGGGAAGCCACTAGGGAAACAATTGTGTTCTTGCTACCCAAATGCATGATGATTCAGTATTTCCAGTATAAAAAACTCTACACCAGGGGCTGGGAAGGTGGCTCAGTGGTAGAGTGCTTGCCTTGTATGCCTGAGGCCCTGGGTTCGATTCCTCAGCACCACATAAGCAAAAAGAAAAAAGCCAGAAGTGGCACTGTGGCTCAAGAGGGAGAGCGCTAGCCTT